CAGTTAGCTTTTTGGAAATGATACCTTAATTATTTGACGGTTTTCGGAGCGGCACTTTTGCTTATTTACATATGCCCCTAGTGAGATAAAGGCCTCCATCAATAGCTAAATAAATATTTGACAAAACCTGTAAAATTTTCTTGAAATATTCTTTGAAAATTTTAAGTTTATATCTTTTTGTGTGCACACAGTGAAATACGTGATTTTTTCGATTTCTCGATGTTATTTATTTTTTTAACTGGGATAACCCTGCAAAAGTTTTAACGGAACCTTCTTGTTCAAGTAATTTAGTAATTTCAAAGTGATTCCTTTTGTTTGTTAAGTGTCTATAAGTATTTTATTTTATTTTTTTTTTTTTTTGGCTTTTGCGCGAAAGCTTTAAAATATAGGGGTTTCGACCTTATATGCTGACATAAAGATTTGAGTTAAGCGGGTTAAAACAAATCTTTTTTCATTCGCATAATCTATGGGTATTTTAGTTACTTTTTGTAAAAAAAAAGTGGTGGCAATGGACATTCAGGACATACAAAATTTCATGGTCTTCAAGTAATGACAACGATTTTTTATAACAGTCTACTAAAAGAGGCTGTAGGCTTGAAGTTTTTGGGCTAGAAGCCGTCAGAAGCGTCATTTTGCAGTCGTCATTTTTGGACTGACATATATACAAACTTTTAATCAGTGCTGGTCCCGTTATATCAAGCAAAAGCAAATTACCACAAAAAAAATTGAAGTTTTTACCGGAAGAAGCCCTTGAGATGGTCGTTTTGGAGAGTGGCAATAATAATGTTGATGTAGTTGATGATGATGATGATGATGATGATGATGAAGGCGATGAAAACAAATTAAACGTAGATGATTATGATTATGAATATGATTACAGTGGTGAAGAAGCAGTTTGTATATTTTAAATAAAACCGAAGTTCACCAAATTTATGTTTTTTATGATTGTTTCAGTTGATGTTCAATACAAAATTTCGTGATCTTCAAGTAATGACAACGATAAATAAATCTAATTGAATTTTTTCTTCTTTTTTACTTCTTGTAATTAATTAACCAAGAAATAATAATTTTTCCGTATTTATATGGCTTGTGGGAATTAATCTCCCTTTTGAGCACCAATTACCACACTGTGCGCCGTATGCACGGCCTTGTCAATAGTCAGCTGGCTGCAGTTCATGTGTGAGCCACTATATGGATGAAGGTGTAAGTTCAAAATACGCTAAAAGGTGTCGTAAGAAAGCCTCAGCTTTTGTGAATGTCGAGAAATAGGCAAATTCGGTTTTTCGCCCACACTTTCACTTGCAGTAGTGATATTTGAGGTGCCACGACTGATGCGATGATGTGCAGGCCTTACAATGACTGTCACCGATCCAGTCTCTTGGAAAGTTTTAAGCGTTTTGCTAATTGCATGAAAACTGAACACCAATGAACCCAATAATCTGCTCTAAAAGCATGAAACGCGGCCATGTTTGAGTCACTATTTTTGTAGGAGGTTTTACCAATTTCAACACTTTGAGCGCTTTTCGATCGATCGATCGTTTTTCATAAATATCCGACTTTTAACTAAAATAAAACAAGTTTGGTTTGACAGTTAAGTCAGCCGTGTCCTTTTGAAATCGCGAAACGGATATTCCTATATATGTATATATTATATATCAACTCATATATATATATAATACCCGTATATAAAGTGCTATTTGGTTTTTATAATTTTTTATTTTATTTTTTATGAACTCTAATTTTTCGAACTATCAAGAGCCATTTTAAGCTTACAGTTGGAAATTGCCACACAATTTTATTTTTACTTTTTGTTCTTTGAATTTTTTTTTTGGTTTTTTTTTTTTTTTTTTGAACTTCCAAACTTCCAATGACTCAACACTAATAATTTTTTATATTATATATATGTTATGTCAATTTACGTACTCCTGAGTACCAATCATTTACACACAAACAAACACATCATACCTGTGTATATAAACAGTTTAAAAGCAACAAATTTGAATGCAACAAAACTGTTCTTTCGTACAAATTCAATTGATCGAGTGGGTAAAACAAAAGTAGGCTATGGTCAATAATAATGACTTTCAAATATGAATATGCGCTGAAAAATGTTCTCCGATATTTTTTACTGATAATTTGATCAACTTAGCGTAAAAAATTTGGCTCAGTGAAGTGAATGTGCGAATTCAAGTAGTGAATGATATGCAAATAAATAACTATATAAATTGAGAAACAAAAATTAATTATACTATTTGAAATTAATAAATTAGTAATTAAAATTAAATCGAAAGAAAAAATATTTTTTTAGCTTAAAAGTCGAACATATTTCCAGTGTATCTCTCTCTCTCTCTCTCTCTCGCTCTCGCTCTCTCTCTCTCTCTCTCTCTCTCTCCGTCTCTCTCTCTCTGATTAAACATAATAATTTTTTAGCTCATTTAAACAGTGTTCACACAGGCACTCAATTAATTAATTGAGAAATTTTCAGCTATTAACCTTCTAAATACCACATAATTAGACTCAAACAATTAGTGTTAAAAAAAAAAGTTAGAATAAGTTTAATAAAGCTCAAATAAGAAAAATGCAAAAGAATATGCATAAAAATAATGTTGAGTAAATTTCAAGTGGCGGCTGGTTTCCGGCACGAAAAATGAAAACTTTGGTTTGTCAGTCACCTATTGTAGAAACGATGAGTTCATTTTGGACTTTCACAAAGTATACTCTTGTTAATTGTTTTGGAGGAAAGCCAAAGTGAGAATGTGAATTTGCTGTGGTTGAGGGTAGAGTTTAGGACTCACCACATAAAAAATCTGCTCGAATAATAAAATGTTAATAATAAACATCTTGTTAAAGACCTTCTCCTCTTGATAATAGGCCCTGAAAATATTTCAAGGAACACGTCTTAAGTGTATGCTATAAGAATGTCCGGTCTCTTAATTCGAGTGGTGTCACTGGGCAGCTGTGTAATATTATAGTGATATTGAAGGCTGACATCGGCACGCAATGGACGGCACATATACAGAAACGGGTAGAGACTTGTGGCATGTATTTATATTCGGTGTTAAATTTGTAGTGAGACATACTAGGTCGCTGAGCCCTGATGAATTAATGTCTCACCACAATCCGCCTTCAAGCAGAGTTCTTCAAATTATCGCTTTTTGCGCTCGTGCTCCGTTGGTAGTGAAAGTTAATGTGACCAAAGAGGCGTTTTGGGCGCTCTACGAATGATGCTGTTGGCACGATGTCAAACTCGTGCTTGGTGATTTAAGGTCCAGGTGTACAAAGAAGGTCGTATTCGTACAAAAGCCGATAACTTTGGCCTCCATGATGAAACAACTCTTAGAATGTTGAGTCAGGACCGACTTCGCTCGTTCACGAAATATGGTTGACTGCATTATCACATTCCGGAGGAATTCATAACCAAATCATTCAAATTGACTTAAGTGTTTTAGGAAAGCCCATCAACAAACACTATTAAGTTTGGACGTCGCAAAGCTGACGTGACAACAGAAAGCCAAATATTTTTTTACACGACTTGGACTACTGTTCTGTGGCAGTGTCCGTAAAAAAAAAAACAGTATTTGTGGTACGGCATTTTAAACTCCTTACGTAATGCCACAAAAGTAATATTTTTTTCCATAAGGTCAAAAAAGCTGTTACCTAACATCATGGCGATGAACACAATGTGCACTGGTTGGGAAAAATTCTGACTGTTAAAGCGGAAAGCAGATACATTTGAAGACAGAAAAACCGTGATAAAGAATTGAAATTGTTGGAAAATGCGGCGACTTATGGAAAATTTCCAGACCAGAACAAACGTATGTAGAATCAAAAGAAACTGAAATGCCTGGCTAAAATGATGGAATAGGCAATTGCTCAACTGAAGTGCAATAAAGTGGCAGATGCCGAGTTATTCACACATGCAGAATATGATCGGACGAACGGATACGCGACAATTGGAACCTAACCACAAAACGGGGGATCCCACAGTCGGGGTCAAATATCTTGCAATGGATTATATATCGCAGATACAGTCCTATCGAGAGTGTTGTTTGAAGGCTCAAGGCATAATGTCCTTTACCACTTATCAATGTGAATTAGGAACGACTCCAAAGAGGCCTTCGACAGCATGAGAAGGATCTACCACTACACCGCTATGGCTTAGGTATTTAAGGTAGATATCTTAGCAAGCCCTATGCGGTTGCATAGAATTTTCGCTGAGTACTACCAAAAGCTTCATCAGAATTAGTATAGATCTAAAGGGCAATCAAGAAAATGGAAGGAGTGGGGCTGGCAGTGGACGGAAAATGACTTTTCATTTAAAATTACCATTATTTTACACAACTTCCAGCGATTTCTGGAGTGGTTAAGTTAAATAGTGAAATACAGATTTTGACTAATTTCAAAGACGACAATGGATAGTTTTCAAACAGTGGGTGCATATCACAGAAACTTATGTAATTTGATGTTCCAGGGTATCATCATTAGTTTTGAATATTCTTATAGGCAATGAATTTCATAAAAAAATGGTTACGAGTAATCTCGTCTTTCCTAGGACTGATCTCTAAAATTATAAAATAAAGAAAAATTTAGATTTCGAGTCATGTTTTACGTGGGACACATCTCTAGCACCATTTGAGAAGAATTCGAAGCAAAATCAATGAGTTTGAAAAAATTCGATTTCGGTGAGTCTCGTTTTTTGTGGGACATATCCTCAGTATCATTTAATAACTTTTTGATTGATAACTGAGTTTTTCGTGGGACAAATATCTAAAATCATTTAAATACTTTTTGAAGCAAAATCGATAATTTTTCCAAAAAAAAAATTGAAAAAAATTCAATACTTTATAGTTAGAGCTTGAAATAAAAAATTACTACGTACACATGCATTATACAAAAAAAAAAAAAAAAAAATAAAATCCTTCAAACAATCCCTATAATCCAAACACTTGCATTACGATAATCATAATTCATTTTACATTTATCCTCTCTACTTATTCCAGATATCCGATTCCCAAAACATCTCACAACCGAACGGCACCCAACACACACAGCGCAAACAGCTCGAAGTGTTGCAGAAGCGCACCCCCAACGGTGCCGTTCAAGTAATACGCGCCCAAACCGTACAAACCTCCTCATCCCGCTCATGGTCCTCGTCCAATTCCAATTCCGCCTCAACATCTGCCTCAGCTTCCGCCTCCGCATCACCCATTTGCATGACGACAAATAATGTTGGTGGCGGACGTACTACTAGTATATTACACAATCACAACAGCACCACCAACAACAACAACAACAACAACAGCAAACATTTTCATAATACACTGCAACAGCATTTAGCTGAGGCAAACACTCATTGGCTGCAACTATCACCGCCAACCATCGCCACCACTGTGGATATCAGCGAAGTGAGCACAGATGATGATCTCGAAAAAGCCGCAGCAGCAGCGGCAGCAGTAGCAGCGGCAGAGACAGCTGGCGAAACACCATACATTGTTGACGATGGCGAGATCGATGATAATGATGGTGATGGCGGCGACGACAGTGCCGAGGCAAACGCTAATGCAGAGCCATGCAATTATTCAATTAGTCGCAGTGGCAGTGGAGCAAGCGGCGGCGGAGGTAGTGGTAATGGTAGTGGCGGCAGCAACAGCAAAGGTCACATACTGCACAGCAACAGCAACAACAACAGTGCAGCTCTACTGTCAAAGCCACTGCCTTTGTCGTCATCATCATCATCGTCGTTGTCGTCGTCGTCATCGAAGACATTGCATTCACAGTCGTCAGCGTTGATATTGCACGATACGGCGCCAAGTTTGAAATTGAGCAATCTTATGGTAAGCTAATGAACGATTTTTTTTTCTCTCGGCTTTGTTGTTGTTAGTTGATTATTTTTTAATTTTAAATCTGTTTACTTAAGTTGTGTTTACATTTTTGTTAGTTATTTTTCGCTCTCGTTAATAACGACGGCTGGCTTTGGTTGGTCTTGTCATAGAGCTCTGGCTTATCGTGATTAATATCTATCGCTGAGTAAAAATCGCTTTAATTGAAATCGGCCAAGAGCCAAAACAAACTGTTAATTGAATGCGGTTGGAGGAAGAAAGGTTAATGAAAACATGTTGTTTTTTTTTGTTTCTTTTTTTCTTGTTTATTTTGTTTTTTCTTTTATTGAAATATTTTAATTTACATAATGAGCTATTAACTATGAGATTCAAAGTTGTTTCGCCCACTCATATACTCATTACTAGAATTTTTTTAATATTTTCTTGTCTTATGTTTTTAATCATCGCAAAGTCTAAGTCCACTAAACCACTTAGAAATAGTCTTTAAAATTGGTGCAATCGTTCCATATGCAAATTGGCATTCAACGAATATTTGAATTGGCTCTAATAACGTCGAAACCGCATAAGTTTTGCGGGGATACCAGATATTCAGATATAGTAGTATGGAGGCAGCTCTTAGTCGTACAATCGAAGGCGGCTTTAAAATCGACAAAGAGGTGATGGTCGATCCTATCGGATCTTTTCCAAGATTTGGCGCAAAGTGAATATCTGTTCAATGGTTGACCAGGTCTAAAGCCACACTAATAAGATCCAATCTGTTTATTGACGGTGGGCTTTAGTCTTTCACACACACGCTTGGCAGGCGATCTTAAGGAGGCTTATCCCACGGTAATTGATGCAGATTGTGGGGTGTTCTTTTTTATGGCTTAGGCAGAGCACACTTAGGTTCCCATCGCCGGTCATGGGTTAGTCCGGCCATATTTTGCAAAGTAGCTGATATAGACACCTTGTCAGCTCTTCATCGCTTTGATTGAATAGCTCTACCAGTAAGCCGGCAATCGCTATGTAAACCTCGACAACTCGATTATTTGTGTAACGTCTTTTCCATTGCCATGGATTAGGGTTTCCGGCTCGCCATGTCGTGTTGTTCCATTTCCATTATCATTCAGCAGGTTGAAGTAGTGTTCCCTCCCTAAATTCGCTATACTCTTGTCATGCGACACTAGATCACCCAACCGGGTCCTACAAGAGTTTGCTCCGGTCTTGAAACTTTTCGTAGAATTTTCGAGCATTACCCTTGTCGGCGAGCTTCTCAAGCTCTTCATACTCACGCATCTTGCCCTCGTTTTTTTTTTGTCGGCAAATGCGTCTTGCTTCCCTTTTTATCTCTCGGTATCTATCCCATATCGCAAGGTTGCGAGGTAGGCAGTATATTTTCTCTCCACTGCGACACGGCAGTCCTCGAGTTTATGTTTAGTGCTCTCAGAGAGCAGGTGTGCAAGTCGAATAGAAAACCGCGCGGCAGTCTATTGTGATTGCAGCTTTTCAACGTCGAACTTTCCCTGTGTTTGTTGACGGGGGTTCCTCAATGCACAGAGGCGCTTGCGTATCTTCGCTGCAACAAGAAAGGAAAACAGTTATTAAATATAAGTAAAACTGAGCTCTCTTAATCCAAGTTGATATGTTATTCATGAACCCTGCACTATCGAATCCATTTGGCTAAACAGCGAGTTAATATCACTTGGCTGTTCTCATATCTGCTGCTAACTGGAAGTCCTCTACGGAGAGAAAGTACTAAATAAGTTCTACGTCAGAATAGACTCTGGTAGCTGATACTCTTAACGGTTACATCGAAAGGATATAAAATAAAATTGTTCTAGATATCAACACCACATTTTTACCGTCGAACCGCTTAGTATCAACTTGGGAATTAGGGTTACAAAACTTAGCCAAAAAATATATATTCCCTTGATATCACCACCGCTGTAACTGAAGCTATTAACACCAGGTCAGAGATGCGTGAAAACCTTGCGTCCAGGCACCCCTGTAAACCCCTTTTCCCAAAGTCAGGAGTTGGTTAGACATAGAAGCTTCCATTTTCATCGCTTATTCGTTCCTTTGGCTCACAAATCGCAGCGACATCGTTGCGTTTAATAAAAAGAGTAACCCAGAGTGTAGTTCAACGACATCACTCAAACTTTTGAAACAAAAAAAAACATTTCCCCACAGCAAAAACATATATTTAATTTCACCAGCTCAGCCGAACCGGAAAATTTCCAATTCTCATGAATTTTTACAGTTCTACCAATTAAAATTTGATTTATCATAAAAAACAACAACTTACCTGCTTATATATGTATGTACATATGTACACGCTGTATCAACTTAATTAACCACGCACGAATTTTTGATATTGTAAATCTTCCAACGCTTTGTTGTCTTTAGTCTTGGTGGACGCCCACACAAATCAGCGACAAGTTCCGTGCGCAGAAAATTGCCTTTCTTTAAAGCAGTCTTCAAATGCCCTTTACTTAAACCACACCAGCATATACATATTATATTAATATATATATATATATATAAATGTATTCTTCAAACAACGTAAAAGGCGGTCATAATTCGCATAACAAAAGCGTGAACAAAGAAAAAAGCCAAGCGTTAGGTGTGGATGTGGGTAAATTGAAGGAGGTGGTAGCAGAACGCGCAAACTTCGCCGTTATTGTTTTTTTAGTATTTTTTTTTTAAGTTTTTTTTTAGCTTTTTTTTGCTGATGCTGAGGTTAAACACAATTCGCAATTTTCGGTCATTGCCATGGTGACTTTTTTTTCGGTATGACCGACTGTAACGACGAGCGACGCCGTGATGGTGACTGGCGGTACGGTTGGAATTAACATAATCACGCGCAGACGCAAATCGCAAATGCCCAAATCTTCAAATCTGCACAAAGATCAAGTATTCAAGCTAACTTAATACCAGTCACTTTAATCGAAAACAAAAACACAAAAATCATAACAAAACCATGCTTATATTGAATGAACGTTGGTAATCCAACAAGAGTTCACCGGTGAATAGTAACAGTTGAGTTGTGAACTACAAAAACCACTAAGGCCTCAGTGTACATATAACAGTGATATTTTAATTAATTTAATTTATTAATTTATTTAATTCAATTCAAATTTTTTTGTCGAACTCATACTTGTACAGGATATTTAGCGCTAGTGGTTGAAAATTTGTTGAAGAACAAGGAAAAGAGACCAAGTATGGGTGAAACCGTAGAAGGGATGCTCGGCTGCTATTTCAGCCTACAAATTTGTCAATAACATTTTGTTATTTGCATTAAATTTAATACTTTTTTTAGTTACATATTTACTCTCTCATTGAATCCATTGTCCATGTCGACTAAAAATTGGAAAAATCAATATTCACAGCAAAATCATTCGTAATAGGTAGCAAAGGATGCCAATCACTAGCTACGAGGTCCATACTATGAGCAAGATGCATTAAAACCTCCCAACCAAGCTCTCTGTGATTCCGGCAAGACACTATCGACATGTGTGAATCTGGCTATGTTCAGATGAAGCACAATTCCTCTCCTTGTGGGCGATTACTGCCTTCAGATGAACTAATCGTTGGCAGTGCTGGTCCGAATTAAGGCCGAACTAGGCCGTAGATGATAAGCTCATAATCGCTAATAACTTGTCAATCCAACCAAACATACAACTAAACCTTTCTGCCCGGCAATCCTGATTGGAGACCGTTCGTCTTGGCTTACTGTTTCTGTAAGGAATCCACTTTTCATACCCAGTCATTATCCGCTTCAAAAATGTGTCGACTTTGTTTACCGGTTCAGTAGCGATTCGCTGATGGAAATCCAGTTCCTGAGGTTTTTTCTCATTAACTGATGCGGTGCGTATACAACGAGCCTCTTTGTGTAGTCAGGCGTTTTCTAAGGAGTTTAAACACATGACGGCCAGACTCTATGGTTTTCCATTATTATATCGAAGCTTACGGCAATTGGCCTTCCAAACTGTTACATTAAAATTACTGAAACGAAATCGATGAAACCGAAATAGTAAATGATTGATCAGAACCGTGGATTTTATTCAGGTTTTTGGTTCCATGCCATCTTTGCTTAACTTTTCTCCGCACATCTTCATTCTTCTTCTTTAGCAGAAAATACCAACTTTCTAATGCCATCTAGCGTAATACAATCGCGAGATACAGACCACTAAAACCATATGTTGCCAAATTAATTGCTGACACCGGTATAATAAGACGGGCACTACAGACACATAAATATTAGTACAATACTGTAAACCAACTGAAAAATGGCTGCCAAAACGTGGCTCAACTATATAGCTGTCTAGCAAGACATCGAAATTACATATATTTATGTCAAAATAAATTTAAAAAAAAGTATCCGGGAAGGTGTTGATACTCTTATTTCAGGCTAATCCCACTCGTAAGAAAAGTAATTTTGACATGAAAATGATGCTTTTCTACTATAAAAAAAAGGTGAAGCTTTCTTTGGAAGTGTTGATGCTTCCACCAAAAATCTAGCCCGTACCATGCATGATCTGACTACTATTTTATTTGGCATTAGCAAACCCCAGAAGAACTGCTGAAAATCACCGATAACTCAGAAGAGATCTACACTGATAGGATTATGTAGTTCACCGAAAAATGACCAAAGTTCATATATAATAACCATCAATAAATACCGTAAATTCAAGCGTTTTTAATATTTTATCACAAACTGTTAGGATTTTCAAGTTGAAGTAAATTCAATAAACAACTACAAAAGTTTTTAAAAATAAAAAATAAAATTTCCAATCCATATTTAAGGAAAATTTCGTGTTCGTTATGGACTTCAAATAAATTTTCATGGGTCAGAAATAGGATCCGTGATTTATACCAGATTTGAGGTTTGGCATAACAATGGGTGCATTCAGCGAACTGAGCGCTCAGTAAACATGTTCAGTGAGCGGTTTTACTGAGCGATTAATTTTCATGAACGCAATGCTGCTTCAACTGCCGAAACGACCACATTAACCGCTAGTTCAACTGCCGAAACTAATCGTGAAGTGTCACATTTTCTTCGTAAAAATGTTTGGTAATTTCTTTTAAATTTCTTTCTATGAAAAACTGTTTATCTGGTGCAGATGGCGCAACTAAATCTGTTTAACAAACCAAAAAATTTAGTAAATTGTCGTCACAAGCACTTTCAAGTAAAAATACTTTTAAATTTTCACGATTCAGTTATTCTGCATGCAGCAGTTGACCGATCAGTAGCAAGTAGCATAAAAATTTTACACTCACAAATATGGTGAACGCTCACTGAACATGGTTACTTAGCGCTCAGTTCGCTGTCTCCAGTAAAAGCTCACCTAAATATTACTTTCTTTCACTTAGTGAAAACTAATAATAGGTAATTGATATCGTCCCCCGCAGGCTGGCATAATTTCTTTCGGCTTGCAGAAATTAAATACAAATTGTGTAGGCAACAACAAAAGTATGCCATTGTTGAATGTATGTAATGTATTTACTTCGGGATTAGCTGACAAAGTAGAAAAATTAAATATATGTAAATTAGAAAATAATGAATGTGTATTAACTTACATATATTCATATTTGCCTTTATAATTTTTTTTTTTAAATTCATATATTTATTTAAAAATTAAATATTTTGGTTGTTTATAATTTTTCTTCGGTTTTGATTTTTCCTATTGTTTTTTGTATTTTAGTTTTTTCTAATATTTTTTTATTTTTTTTAGTTTATTTCTTATTTCTCATATATGAGTATATAATTTTTAATTTAATTATTATATGTACGTTATTTATATATTTTTATTAATTTCTTTTATTTTAATTTCCCCCTTCTTTTAAACTTTTCTATTGTATATTTAATCTAGTTTCAAAATTTTTTTAAACTTATTTTAAAATTTTTCTGGTTTTTTAATTTTCTTTATTTTTGTCTTATTTTTCAATTGTATACATATTTCTTATTTTTAATTTTTTCTTAGTTTTCTTTTTCTAGTTTTTGAATTTTTTATTTATTTCTGATTTTTTCAATTTTTTTATTTAATCCTACTTTTTTTTCTATATTCTTTATTTAATATTATTCTTTCAATTTTTTTTTATTTTCTAGTCTTTCGATTTTTTGTTAGTTTACCTTCTTTAATTCAATAAATGATGTCTAGGCTTTCAAAATTTTAGGTTTTATTTCTAATTTCTAAATTACTTTCTAATTTTATTAAATATTTTTAACTTTTTTATTTATAAATTTTTAATGTTTTATGTTTTATTTTTTACTTCTTCAGACTATTTTGATATTTTTCATTGCTGATAATTTAATATTTTTCTAATTTTCTTTTTTTTTAACTTTTTAATTATTCATTTATTCATTTAAAATTTTTTCATTTTATTTTTCTATTCACTTCTAATTTTTCTTATAATTTTGATTTTAATTCCTATTATTTATTTTTTCTAATTTTTCAATTATTATTCGGTTTTTTGTGCTATCAGCATTAAGTTCAAGCATCGATTTACAGTAAAATTCTTCTTAAGCTTCTCCACAAAATATGTTAATTGCCATTTATCTACTTGTGTTACTTCAAAAAAATATCCAGAAACAAAACAACACACAAAAATTAAAAGAAACTTCAAACTCAAGCACCAAACTTGCCTTTCTTTGCACGATTACAGAAAAGTAGCAGCGGCGGCAGCACTAGCAGCAGCAGCAACAATTCTACAACAATGAACACCCACCCAGCTGTTGTTGGTAAGGTGAGCCTACATACAATTGTTGGCGGGGACAGCATTCGAACCAACAACGACACAACAAAGTCACCAAAAAGTACGTCGAAAAGTTCAAATGAAGCAGTGACTGGTACAAAAACATGGCAGCCGCACCAGCAACAACAGCAGCGTAGCGCTCGTCATCTGGAACAAGCTACTCTATATGGCCAAAACAGCAATTCATCCAAAACGCGCGTAGGCGTTGCTGATTGTGATGATTGTTATGCGGCTGGAGTTGACGCAGATGATTCGCCGTTGCGCTACCAACACCAGCACCAACACCGCCTTCGATCGACACAACAGCAACAACAGCAACAACAGCCAGCTGGTAAATTAAGCGAAACTACACCAACGCGTCGACGTGACTTGGAAAGTTTCCGGCATTATGGTGTTGGAACCGCAGCAGCCACAGCTACATTTGACGCGGAGCAGGCGGGCGCGACAGCGGCGACGTTTGACAACGCCAAAGACGATGATTTACGGTGAGTATTTGAGTGAAAATTACAGTTTTGATTGTGCGCTGTTATTGAAAATATTCAATTTCAATTGAGTTGTCTGTGTACAAGCGATTTTTAATTCAATTTAATTGTCATTTGCCGCTGACTCGCTGCTGGCTGCTGTTAAGCAGTGCAGTGCGCATTTAATTTTGAGAACGGAAACACTTAATTTTATTCAAGTAGCGCAAGTAATTTTTAATTTCTAAAATCGAGAATTTTTTTTTTAAATTAATTTTTATACTCTCCTCTATCCCCAAAACACGCGCAGCTTATCTACACGGCAACTGCGTCGTCAGCAACAACCGTTTGGTGGTCAGTTATTTGGCAACGGGCGTGAGCTCCAACGCTCACATTCCATCTCTACGGACGATCTAAGCAACGAATGGGAGACGAACGAAGCTGTCGCCGAGTCCAATGAGTGGCGTAGGGTCAGTAAGTTGCGTCGCTCTTTTCAATCCTCCTCCTCGACAAATAATAGTTCCAGCACTAGCTTGGATCAGTCAGCACAGCAACAAATTTCCAACGCTGTGCGTCGTCCTTATGATCTACCAGCTAGTTCCGTAAGCGTCTCACGCATACGCGCGGAATTGGAGAGTGGACGTCGGCTAACAACAGCAATGCGTAATAATCACGTGGATCTGGCAGCATTGGAGAGCATACTACATGGTCCAGAAAAAACTGCAAACGACAATAAACGCAATACACTATTGACTGCGGAGTCGCTGAAGGAGATACGTGGTCGACTGAAGAAACTATCGGATGAGTCATTGTATAAAGACGATTTCATCGCCTACCAACAACCGCCGGCCGCTGATGAGCACATAGAAGTGCATCAGAGTGTGCGCCGTAAAGTATCAACGCCACGTTTGCGCCAACTAACACCAGAACAGTCGCCAGAGATCTCAACGCCAACATCAAAATCAATAGCAACAACACATAAGTCGGCTTTCAAAGTAGTGGCTAGCACACAACCCGATCACACGACGGAGAGCGACGCTTTGGCGCCGCGCAATAAACATACCTCCCACAGCTTGGAAACACGTCAAAAAGCGAAAGATACAAGCTCAACAGAGTGGCATTCGCGTCGTAAATCTTATGGTTTCGAGAAGATGTCGCCACCCGATAGTAAGTCTATGTTTCGCATGGATGCGTCTACGGATAGTGGTCTCGGTCGCTCAGGTGAATTGGGCAATTGGTCGCCAACCGAGTCAGCGCCAGCTGCTGCACGCGCCACAGTCATACATTTCGGTGAGCCAGCCAAGACAGTTACACAAGCACATTATCGCGCCGGAAAGTCACCGGTACGTCGTACACCCGATGAGGATTTGCTCAAACGTCATTCGATCGCTGTGGATGAGAGTCAATATGTGCGTGATAATTTACGTAAGACCTCACAAGTACATCTGAATGGTTTCTATGAGCCCAACGAGGCAGGCGCCAAATCCACATTACAGCTAAATCGTTACGACAGCAATACGGAAAGTAATCCATTCAATCTCGCCAACTCTACGCACTCCTCACTATTTCAACGTACGCAGAATGCACACAAGCGTGTTGAATTCTGCAAGACCGAGGTACATTTCGCTGCCGAGTCGGGACGCGTCAACATTGTCGAAACGGATGGAAAACCACCGCCAACGAATAATTTTCGGCGCCGTCGCCGCACCACAAGTGGTCCATTACAAACTCTTACCAAGTCTGTTAACGCTGTCGGCGAAAGCACATCTACAACAACCGCCAGTAATATAACACATTTCGGTGATGATCGTGAGCAACGCCATCGCACGATCGCCAGTTCTTTGGTAGCTTATAAAGCTACTCTCATGGAAACTTCAGCAGAAGGCAATGAGACACAAGTAATGCCGGCCACAACAAATGTCACTGTATCAGTGCAAAGATCGAGTGATACGCAAGCTGAGGGTGCACGTGGCAGTTATGCCTCCACAACGAGTGGCGTCGATACAACGGATAATGAGAATGACGAAATCGCCGCAATACGTGGTATACTCAAGAACAAACCTGTGAAGCCCAAGCCATACCATCTGGGTGAGAACATCGATAGCGCGGATGCGCTATGGGGCGTACAACTGAAACCTGTAGGAGGTGGTGGTGTAGGTAGTGGAATGTTACGCGATAAAGGTTTGTAGATAATTAAATATATTTTTTATTATATAGAAGAAAATTAACCCTGATCTCTTTCCCTCTACTCTGTATGCACAACACAGAAGATTCGCCGTCTACTGTACTAAATAAGTCCGTGGCGGAGCGCGTACGAATTGTCGAGAAACGTCACGAAATTGGCGCTCAGAATGGTTATTCTACTAAAATTAATTTAAATTTGGACGAACCAACAGCATCAGCACGCGATTGGCCAAGCGCAGGTAAGTCAAATTGAACAACACTCTTGCGATCACTGAGTCTAACCTACTTAGGTGCCATTATTTGTTCGTTAACTTTAATATTCAGTAGTGCTTTTGTAGCATCCAGTTCTAATTAAGCTCACAAAATTGTTAGCCTCACTATTGTTGATACTTGAACTGCGCCTAAAACTGTGCTGCGTTAACAAAAAAGAAAAAACTGGCCGAAAATGTTCAGCAGAGTTTTAGACTCCACACTAAAAATATAATAATAATGGAAATAAAAAAAGTGAGGTTATAAATTTTGGGAGCGTAATTCGAAAAAGACTGTTAGTTAAATGCGAAAAAATATTTGTATTATATAAACAAATTATGTTTCGGTTTTACTTATATACTTTAGTTGTTATAGTTCAGTTAATTAGACTCAAAAATATTTTTTTTTATATCTTTAAGTAATTTTTACTCTTAGCTAGTCCTTTTTGTGGGTTGATCTACTATTTGTATATGTGACTTTTGTACTTTTAGTTTGTAAAACATTGTACTACTCTTTCTACTTCTTCTTGTACGGAATTAATGATTTTTATTTCTTTTTTTTTTTTTGTATTTTTAAAATAATCAGTTTAATAACTCGAATAACTTTTACTAAAAATTGTTTGTTTAATATTTTGCATGACAGTTATTTCACTGTTTACCGCTAATAATTTGTGTTTGGTTGAATTGGCTTGTAACTGTGTGTGTCGGTGTATTAATCCATAAAATGTTTACTAAAAAGTTGATATTTATGTATGTAACTCTAACATTCTGTTTTTTTTTTTTTTTGTTACTCAAACCATTTTACACATCCTCAACTCGAACTCTCAGCCCCTTCCAAATGATGTTTGAAGGTCTTTGTATAACTTTTTTGAAAAGTAGTTTACGATGGCAACTTTTACAAGGTTACACATTTCGTACTTTCGAAAAAAACCTAAATAAAATGTACTTAAAATAATTTTATTTTCATTAAATTCCTTTTTTTATTATAATATAAAGTTTGAACCTTTGGTATTATTCATATGTGGAACACTATATCATTCAAATGACCGCCTCGAGAATTTTCGCAAACTTCGATCCCTTTGATCTAATTTTCGGCCTACTTTTGTCGCATATTCGGCGGCATCTCTGCCGTAATTTGATTAATAAAGCCATATTCGCTTGTTTTGTGTGGCATGTGGTAGCATCTTGTTGGAAAGTCCTGCTCTTCAATTGCAGGGCAAAAAAAGTCGGTTAAAATACGACTAAAACGCCGAATCGATATTGACACTCTCGCCGTTTTCAAAGGAGTAAGGTCCAATAATACCTCCGGACCAAAGAACTAACCAAATAGTAATTTTTTAATCTTAGCAAATATATGAGGAGCTCCAAATTCGATGCTTATTTACGTAGCTCCCAAGTAAAAGATTTACCTCGTCTTCTACTCGTTTTTTTTTGGCTTTACGAATGGTCCGCTGGCTTTAGTTCGTGTATGAGCTGTACTCTATATGGATGTAGGCATAAGTCTAAGTGGAAAATACGCCTTAATGTGCCGTGAGATAGTCTCAGCTCCCGAAAATATCGAGAAATAGACACGTTCGGATACCCGGCTACACTTCCCCTTACGGTAACGATATATTAGGATATATTAGGAGGAACGAGAAAAACTATATTGCAGAAGCCTTACAACGTCTGTAATCGTGTCAGCCTCTTAAAATTTCTTTGAAATATAGCAAACAAATTTCCTTCCTCAGACTTCCTCAGATGAATCAATCTCTCAACTCGCTTGACTCCACAAGTAGCATGAGAGAAAAATTTATTGTTTCAATCAAATGGTGGCCACGGTAGCCGAGTGGTTAAAAAAAATTAAACTAAATTTTCTAATTGCAATCGCTCTTCGGCAGGGAATGTCAACACCTCCAAATGTATAGCTGACATGAAAAAAAGCTCCTCATAAACAAAAACTATCAGCCCTTCGGAGGCGACTTAGAATGAATTGAAGGTCCCTCCATTTGTTGGAAAAACATCACATCAAGACAAGTTGTAGGAGGAGCTCGGCCGAAAATCGCTTCCACGGTTACAAAGCGCCAATTCAGAGGAGAAAAACTTTCCACTATTTCTTATGTTTACAGCTTCTATTTACTTTTTCCATAGTCTACAAATTGAAAGTTCACATACAAGGTCTCGTTTACCTTTTCAATGGAGCATGCGACTACGAAATACAGCGCACACACTGCTTCAAAGCGTAAAGTAAATACATGTTTATTATATAATATATTCTAACGCTTTATAACCGCTGAATTGGGCCGGACTCTGGTTTTCCTAGTAGTAGTGCACAATGCAAACCACCCGAATATGATTCTAAGACAGATTGGATGTGCTTTCCTTTACTACCATTGCACATGATTTAACCAATCCGACTTCACCATGACCCATTTTCCAGCTCCATAGGCAATTTCATTGTACAAAGTCTTAATCGACATTTGTACTTCTTGTGCTGTCTCAATCAACAGACGAATGACATTTTGTTCCATCTTATCACCTACTTTGTTCCCTATAATGCCCTTGTGACTTGGATCCCAGTAGTCGTGCATTCCTTTAACGACCTTATCCACTCTCTCCGTCAGATATTTTTGAACCGTCCGTGTAGATATTTTAATGCATGCATGTTTTCCACTTTTAGTGGGACTTGAAACCTTCATTCAACAACAATACTTCCTTCTATTGTAATCTTTTCTCGATCCACAGCTTCTATAACTGCTTCCCTTATCTTAATAATAAAAACAGTAGTTTATCTCACGCTAATTATATGATTTAATTCTCCTTACACAAAGCTCTGAAAATTTAAAAAAAATTGCCTTAAGTTCACACGATTTAATAACTAAAAAAAAAAACCTAACACGCCTTTAATAAATATTTGCTAAATCGTTTTACCAAAAACACAAAAACCAAACAAAAAGCAAACAATGCAACTCACAACACTCTCACTCAGGTGCTCCCAAACTAATGCCACTCACTGACAACAAACCCATACCCAATGCCACCAATCGACGACCCAGCGCACAAGAGCTAATACTACAGGACCTCCGTGAACACCAACGTGTGCTGGACGAGGGACTCAAGTCCACATCGCTTATTATCAAAACAATGCGTTCGGCGAATGAATTCGACGAGGCAATGCGTCGTCTTAGTATAGCTTCACTGGAATCGGCCACCATGCCACCGATTGTCGTACCTACACCAATGTTGCGCTCGAATAGTTATCAAGAGACTGTACGTCGTTACTCCAACACATCTCTGGAGGGTACGGAGCGCGAGCTAACAACGCAAACTGTTGTTAATACAAAATGCGCCTCGACGCTGACTGAGACCACTACGACAACCACAAGCACTAGCCGTAGATTGTCTTTTGAAAGTCAAAGCGCCTTCGTGACACCACTAAATCTACCGCCAACGCCACTTGTGGCACCACGTTTGAGGTTACTTGGAAACACGGATGTGTCAGTGAGTCAGCAGCTATCGCAGCTACGCCGCATGTATGATATCGCAGCGACACAGCAACACGATGAGGAGGATGCTGCCGACAGTGCAGATGAGGAGGTGAAGAGCTACTTTTGCCCAAAGGTACACAATGAGCAAAGCGACAGTGGTGGCGGCACTTTGGAGAGCTCTTCGCAGGAAGATGAGCGTGCCGTAGAATACTCTAGCGGCAGTTGGAGTCGCATGAAGGCTAAGCGCACGATTTGGAAGATTGAGGCGGAAGAGCGTAAGGGCGCTTCACTGACAGTGTTGGACAAAGCAGGTAATTACGAATGTAAAACTACTTTAGATGACGAAGAAAAAGAGCTTTAATTAAGTACAGGTTTAGGACATGGAGTAGATTGCAAGTAGATCAACCGCAATAAGGGTTAGGTTGATAAGCGTAAATATTTCAAAACAAACTGTAATTGCTTAACACTTAAGTGACATTCTTTCAAAAACTTTCGCCCAATAGATTTACCGAAATCCAACATCATGAGCATTGAGTTACATTCACCGCAAATTTCATTAGAAAAACGTGACTCCTTTAAACGTAACCAAACCCCGCCCGTGGCCAAGCCAAGAACTGCGACAAATGGTGAGTATTCATTGACTGCATTCCTAACTATATGCGCTAATAATTATAATTTCTTTTAAGCTCCCATCTCAGTTGAGCAACAACAAATACATATAGCTACAAGTGTCAAACAAACAGCTGATCGCTTTTTACCAACCGCTGAGCAACGTGAATCACTGAGGATTGTAAAAGAGGCACGAGGTGCACGCAAACTACGCGAACATGAACTTTCTTACTTTGGCATTGCAAATGCTCAGAAACACGAAGCACACGAGTCAAGATCGAAATTACACTCGAATACGAACGCTAACGCAATGAGTACATCGAAGCGTACGCTACCGTCACGTCAACGTTTAACTATAATTGGTAATGACGACGAAACGAAACCGATGCACCGACACGAAGGGCATCATGTAGATAAAACGAGCGATCTGACACAAACGAAAGCCCAAAACGCGGCAACCAAATGGCAGTTATTGAATGACAAACCCGATTTACTACGACACAGTCCGATTGCTGTGGAACCACAATTAATACGACTTACTGGTGACGTGCAATCAAGTGAACGTAATAGCGCATCCGTGGAGCGCAAGATACATGAACACTCTAAAGACTTTAGGTTAGAAGATGAGCATGTTAAAGCTGAAGATGAACCTGATGACCACTACTATGAAAACATAACGAATGAATTAACGCCAGTCTTCAAAGTGAAGTCACCACAACCGTACGATCGAAAAATGGATGTGGAACGTGATGCGTATATACTGAGCGAGATGAATGAGAATGCCGATCTAACTATGAAGGTAAGTATGAGTGCTACTAGTATAAAAATATGAAAAATAAACAACCTCAATCAAATAATTATTCAACGAAAAATAAAAACAAATATCACACAAACTTTAAAACAAAAAAATTAAATAATATAATAAATAAAAATAAAGTAATAAAAAAATAACTAAAATAAAAAATTGACAAAATAATATTAAATATAATATATAATATAATTTGGTTGCATTTTACGTTAAAAAAAGTAAATTAATTGAACTAAATAAAATGAAAAAAGAAATTAAATTGAAAAAAATAAATTCAAATAAATAAAATTAAATAAAATTTATTGAATTGAAATTAAATTAAATATTATAAATTAAAAGAAGTTAAAGAAAATAATAAAATAATTTATCTAAAAGTTAATCTAATTAATCAAAATAAAAGAAAAAAATAACACAACAATAAAATGAATAAAGTAAGACAAATTTCATAACTAAAATAAAATTGAACAAAATATATAATTTTAATAAACTTAATTGAAATAAAATAGACTAAATAAATTAAGCTTAAATAAAATAAAATGAATCAGAACAAAAGAAAAAAATGAGAACAACAAAAAATTAAATAAAGTAAGAGAAATTTCATAAATAAAATAAAATTGTACGAAATAAAATTAAATTAAAAAAATTTAATTAAAAGAAAATATATTACATAAAATAAACTAAAATAAAATGAAATAAGATGAATCAAAGTAAAAGAAAAAATTGAAACAACAAAAAAAATAAAATTGACAAAATAATATTAAATATAATATATAATATAATTTGGTTGCATTTTACGTTAAAAAAAGTAAATTAATTGAACTAAATAAAATGAAAAAAAAAAATTAAATTAAAAAAAATAAATTCAAATAAATAAAATAAAATAAAATTTATTGAATTGAATTGAATTAATAAAATTAAACAAAAAAAATAAAAAACCATGAAAATTAAAAAAAAAAAATAATATAAAACAAAACAATATTAAATATAAACAAATAAATTTAATTGAAATACAATAAAATTAAATAAATAAACTAAACATAAATAAATAATGAAACAAAATATTGTTACCTAAAAAAATTAACTAAAAAAAAATGCAATTAAACTCTATTCAATAAAATAAAGGTAGTGAGAAATAAAGGTAAATGATATGAAAATTTTAAATAAAACAAATTTAAATATAATAATTCAAAATAAAAGGAATGAAACTAAAATATAATATAATATTGTATAATATAATGATAGAAAATAAAATTAAAAACAATTAAATAAAATAAAACAAAATATTTAAATAAAATTATAAATAAAACCCATGGAAATAAAATGCGATAATATAATAGACGAACTAAAGCTTAATACATATAAATAAATCACGTAATTTTTTTAAAATTAAAAATAAAATATATACCTATTGAGTTCACGAGAATACATTTTGCCATAATGATTGAGTACCGTTCCGCTCTTCGTTTTCACTTAATTTACGAAGGCTGTCAAACTAACCTCTTTCATTTTCCATTCCCTCAGGCGCTCTCCGATGAAGCTGCCCATAAAGACCGGCGACGTCGACGATCGTCGCTCCATCGACGCGATTCCAAGCCTCTCGAAACAATCGAGGAGAAAATGATCACCCACAAGCCGACCGACACGTGCATTGCAGTAAAAATGTCACGCGGTACATTAGCCTCCGAAGCAAAACGTAGCACCGCACGACACACTGCGTCCTCTTCACCAAGCGCACACGATGCACACACACGCGTGCGTACCTCTTCACAATCGTCGGTAGAAAGTTCTCCTCGTGCACGATCCCGTTCACGCTCACTCTCTAGCGAACGTGAATATGAGAATATACGCACATCAAAACCAACGCGTAACACAACACTTGCAGCAAAGCAGCAATCCAAAATCACTGGCAAGCAACACCATCGCTCCAGTTCACGTGAATCGCAACGCTCGACAAGACTACCATATTCTTCGGGTGATGAGGTTACACCACGTGAGGAACAACGTGTGCGCATGAAGAGTAAACGCAGCGCTGCTTCTTCAAGCAATGCAGTGGCCAGTCGTAGTGGAGAAAGGCGCAACAACAGTAGTGCTAAGCAAAAAGATAGCACTTCGGAGCGCCATCGTCATCACCATCAGTCAGCAACAACAACAAACAGTAGAGATTCAGAGCAACGGCGTCGTGCGGCCAGCAGCACTACGCATGCCTCTCAGCGAGAGGAACGCGCTGAGTGCGTGACTGTGCCGCCAGAGCAACAGCGTAACCTGGCCAGCAGTGGACGGCGTAGCAGTAGCAAACGCCGTGAAGAGCAAGCGACGCACACAATCAGCAATACTGCGGTTGGTAGCAGTGAAAAACACTCTTCAAGCTCACGTAGCGTAGTAGAGAAATCACGCAACGCCAATGCCGGTGTACGGCTGTTCCGTTCGTTACGTGGCGGACGTACTGATGACGCTAAAGCACATAGTATGGAGCATCGCACGTCCGGCCATGGTACGACTAGCGAACGTGAGAAACTCGAACGTGAAAAAGAAAAACAGTCCAAATCGCGAGGTGAGTATTGGTGGAATTGATTTAGATTATCACTCACTTAACTTCTTCAGGTACTATAGTTTAGGTAGAAATAGAGCTAAAGATCTGAATGTAATTCAATGATACTCTACTATATATACATATATTTTTTGCAGAGCTGCTTGTTTTGGGCATCTTGATAATGGGTGCTACACAGCCACAAACACTACACAAAACTTTTAGGTTAGCAGTAAATTTAAGAAAAAGATTAAATTTCCACTGTACCGTTACACAGCCTCCATGCACTACAAATTGGTGTATCAAAAAAAAAATTTATGTTGCACTACGGCACAAGAAATTAATTTTTTGTTAAAATAAGGTTAAGAACACAAACTGAAATCTCTACCATATATGTACCCGAAACCCCCCGAAAAAACACCTAACAATAACTTTGTACCACGTCAAAAGACTAATCAAATTAACCCACTTTCAATCAAAAAAAAAATAAAAAAAAAATTTAGTCTAGTGTGCTTAAACTCTTGCCCACCATTCACAGGTCACTCCACCAGCAAAACTCAACACCACCACAGCAGTAGCGAACACCAACGTGCACCCGTCCATAGCGAACGAGTGTCCAGCAAAACTCACGAACGCAAAAGCACAACCTCAAACGCAGCCGAGAAGTCAAATGAACGAGCCACAACACCAACGTACGTATACGAAATCGAAACGAATTTATCACAAACACAAACCGATAGCATCAGTAGTGAGAGTATAGCACAGACGCAAGCCACAAACGAAGTCATGATGCATACCACACAAGCATTCATAAGTGATTTCCGACTGAAGTCACAACTCGACGAGAGCAATGCCAATAACGCCTTAAATGCCAGCAACTCGCTTACAACAGCAGCGCAATGTGAACTGTTATACACACCACCCTATGAAGATAGAGAAAGAGCGACCGTCGATGCGGCACCATTGCCACCGCCACGCACGCGTCGCAAACGCCTCAGCTCACTCATACCTATACCCATTAATCCCCACACATTAACGCCACCAACCAAAACTTCACCTCCATCAACGCCATCCGTACCCATCACTTATGAACATCAAATTTATGCACAAATCATACCACCCGTATGCTATGCACCCGAACCCACTTATTCCAATCAGTCGACATTACGTAAAAGCTCCCTACAACGTACTTTGCGTAAACGACGTAGCGCTCTACCTCTACCCATTTCTTTCCCTTGTGCGCGCAAACCGTCCCAAACGCAGTCGACAACCTCCTCATTCGCGTTCCTACCTTATTTGCCTGCGGCGCCCGGTAAACGACCCTCGGATGCCAGTCATATTTACCATAATTATTTGCTATATGCAACGCCAGCAAAGGTGCAAACGAAACCAATGAGTTTAACACGCCCCCCAGCCGAGCTGGCTGCCAGACTATGGGAGGCCGATATGCTAACCAGGCCAGAGAGGCCGCAGAGATTGCGCACAATGCGTAGTCATGTGACGACGCACCACCCATTCGGGTTGTGCACATGCTCATAGAAGACTATAGATGAAAAGTATAAGAAGACAAAAAGCAGCGATAGTTGGAGTTCAAAAAACAAGCAATACATACACTGGCTGGGCAAGAAAAGGTGGCTCAAAAGCATTGAGAAACACGCTAAAATGTGTGAAAAACTGCAGACCAGAGGACAAAAGAAGTAGCTCTTTGAAGAAAGTTCATACAAAATGGATCTCGATTTTTGCTCATAAAAAGCTTGACATTTCAACACATTAGAAATAGAGTCCACCACAAATGCATTTGGCAATTGGTTAAAAATAAGAGATTTTTGGGTTACATTTTGAAATACAAATTGTGCAAGCAAAATTCCAAAATATCCAAAATATTTTCTGGCAAAACACATGCTCGTTCATCTAAAAAAGAAACGTACTCACAGCTCATAAACGCACTTCAGTTTTAAAATATTTATTTCATAAACGTATGTATGTGTGTGTGCTTGTGTGGCATATACATATAGACAAATTCCAGCACTCTCGACATTGACAATTGCAAAAAAAAAAAACTAAAATTTCTGGATATGTTTTTACTTTCTCACAGTGTAAGAGAGCGTTTTTTGTTTAATTACCGTTACAACTCGCCTCGTAGCAGTAGTTTGCCAGTAGTAGTTGTAGACAAGCCAATTGGCAATCAAACATTCGCTCTTAAGCGTGTGGTGCTCTTCTCCATCTATTGTAGAATCACTCAACTCTCGGTAGTTTTGGTAATAGTTGTAGCATGTTTTCACTCTCTCTCTCTCTCTTTCATAGTAATCACAAATATTTAAAACGACTCAATGTCTATAAACTGTGTATCGTAGTTTGATGTATCTCGTTTTGTTTCATGCTAACATTTCTTAACAAAATCTTTATCTACTCATATGCTCCACTCTTGACTGACTCGCCATCTTTAATCTATATTTTCAAGCTTAAAATTTAAATTCGCAATAACCAGCTTTGGAAGTGTTGAAGGAAAGAAAGTTATTGGATTAGATTATTTTTAGTAGAGTTTTCCTTCTCAATCATTGATCTTTAAAGAGAAAATACATATGAAGACAGATTGCCTGATGAGTAAGGCGCTCCTAAATTACTTCTTGAATTTTTCGTTCTAGTCGAGGTTTGGTTTATAACCGAGTCAATAGCATCATGCATTTTGTCTAGTCCAAATGAAGTCTGCTACCTTTCCACTTAGAAATCGTCCCCTTCGAAAATTTTCAAAACTGGAGTGTATTTGCCTATCCGCCACACCCGCCGAAATCGATGCAAACGTTGGATCTTAATTTGCAAGCATTTTTATGCAGCGTATAAGCATCGTTCTTCTTAGCGCGGCGTATCATAAATCTTCAGTTAAGCCATTCTCTCAAAAACTTGGGGCGATTTATATGATTTTCTCAGGCGTTCATACAGTCATGGCTTGTCTATAGGAGACTTCACTTTGCAGTTGCCTCTTCAGCCCAATAGTGATTTGCTTCGGTTGCAAGACTTGCTGGCTCTTGAGACGAAACTGTGTACCCACCTTGGAGAGATCTTTCTCGATTCCGGTGGAACTTCAGCTATCCTTCTGTGTCAGTTTTCACTTCCACTTCTTTATTTTTACAATATTATAGCTGATCCCCCACTTTCACGTCAGTTTTTAGAATCCTTCCAATAGAAATTCTTTCATTTACTGGATTGAAAATTTTCCAAGCTAGCGTTTTTCATCAAACTTATATTTCGAAGGAAGCTTCCGAAATTTCGAAAACACCATCTATCATTATTGAGACGAAACCATGTCTCACCAACATCAATATTACTCTTGAATACTGTTAAGTGCATCCACGTATCGACAAGCTTTCCAAACCGCAAAATCCGCGCAATGTGAGCTCGCCTTGGCTACTTATGCGGTCTGGATAAAACAGAGCGTACAACTGATAATTTCGACCTACTATACGTCAGTCTGCCGCGGTAGCCGAATTTTTATCATTACGTAGTGCCATTCGGAAGGCTCGGGATCAAGTCCTGGTGCCCTACTAATACCCTAAAAGTTAAAAAAAATTCATTTAAATTATAAACTAAATTAAATTTTCTACTTGCGGTCGCCCTTCAACAGGGATTTCTGAGTATTTTTGACATAAAATAAAGCTCCTCATAAAAAAACCATCAGCCCTTCGGAGGCGGCTTAGTATAAACTCTGGGTCCTTCCATTTGTTGGAAAAACATCAAGACGCAAAACTACAAATTGTAGATCAGTATCGAAGATTGCTCTCTATTTAAGTCAGCAGCTGTATTGCTTTCTCCAACATAAAATTGAAGAGGTCACACGATGAATCATTAATAGGTAGTGTGACTCAACTTTTTTCTCACAAATCTTTTCTGAGGTTTCGAGCGTGATCGACGGTGGACTTTCCAAAGCCATACTGACCTCAATTTCTCAGTTAATACTTTAGCAGTTCAACGCTGATTTCTTTTGTCTGTCCAATTTTCAGTTCTGTTTTCTACTCCGTATTTTATTGAAGTTGAAATTGATGCAGAGCGCTCTTGACCCCCTTATTATTCAGAGTCATCAATTTAACTTTGCCTTACATAGAAAACGTTCTTAGTCGATGTTTCTTTGCGTCCACCAAACATATTGCACCGCTCCTGTAAGATATTTATTAAATAAAATGAAATAATTGACAGCGTTGTGGCAAGATTTATGAAATATTTATTTCTATGTTTCCTGGAAGAAGGATGCAATTTAAAATTCCTCTATTTCTTTCGAATTTTTCACAAACAAAAAAATAATTTTTAGAAATTCTAACACACAAAATATCATACCTTATGTTTACAGTAATTTCTCATCACACTTCTCCATTAAACAACATTACCCGAACTAATAAAAACTGTTTGGCTTTTAGGCACACCTTCACAGCGATTTTCAACACATTTATTTTCACCCCAGTAGAATCTCCTTGTATTTGTTTTACTATTTTCATAATGCATTTATTGGTACTAAATATCCTTTTCTCTCTGTCTCTCTTTTTATTTTAGACATAGTAAAAGCTCGCAAGTTATAAATGGACGACGAACTGGACATCACGCTGAGAGTGGCCATCACAAACATAGCGACGACCATAGCCGAAGTCATACACGGCACTCACAACACGACGGCACAACGAGGAAGTCAACGCAAGTCAGAAAGCGTAGTGAACATAGCAGGCGAGAGCGTAAATGAGTTACGAAGCATTAATGTGTGACTCCATCGTTGAAATAAAAACAGAGTTTTTGAGCAGCATTTAAGAGAACATACGCAATGCATTCAGGCTTGCCTGTACTTTGTAATAAATATATTTATAAAGTTTATCTAAGCAGACATTGAATTTATTTAGTGATCAACTATATTGGGAATATGTACATGCTCATATAAACTACAAGCAATATGCCTTTAAAGTGTACTAGCTTATGAAATATTTTCTACGTAAATGCGTGTTTTAAGCGCCTGAAAATATGTTTACGAATTTTTCTATGATTTTTGTTTTAGTTTTTCTTTTTGTCTACATGACACATGACACATGACTAATTACAATGTTAACTAAACATACTAAGACTTAATACAATACATATATGTATTTATGGCGGTAGCAATTAGTTCCTCTTTCTTGTCTGCCAAAATTCCAAATTTTGTATGTATTTAAAATATTTAAAGAAGAAAGCGCATAAAAGTTGCACTATTCGTTTATAATTTACGATTAAATATACTAAACACTGCTTTGGTAGGTTATAAGCGATAAAAACGAGTATTAAAAATTGTTGACTTTAAAAAAAAAAGTTTACTAATTTCAACTAAAAAGAAAAATAAAAATACGTTTTAATATTTTTCCTACAACGAAACTAAACACATATTAATTTATTAAGTTATTCGATATTCTATAACCACAAATGATACTCATATATTTCGATTTTCGTTCTTTTTTTAATTTTTTTAGTAATATAAGCATTTGCGCTTCAATTGAATTTGTTGCGTTAAATACCCTTCAATTCAATCGAAAATTTATTTCTTGTATATTTTTTTTTTTTTGCAAATGTTTTTAATATTTTAAGTATGAATTGTATATCATGGTAATTGCAATAATTTTAAAAATTGTGCGTTCATTATAAATAAAAATATGATTTTAAATTATAAATAAACTATGCAGAAAATTAAAAAAAAATTTATGTTGACACTTTATTTCATTTAACATTATTTTATTTAAGCTTGTACATATTTATTTAATAAAAAATTACTGAATTCTTTTTTTATTATATTTTCTTTTTGATTTCACCTTTTTTATTTCGTCTTGCTTTAATTTTTTTGACTTCATTTTTTCTATTTTATTTTAGTTCTTTTAATTTCATTTGATTTTTATTTATTTATTTTTTTTTTAATTTATTTTCTTTTTGGTTCTTATTTTGCACCAATGTATATATATTTATAACGTAGTATATTAAGATCTTTACCGACGTTAAATAAAAGTAAAAATTTATGATCGCTGTGTAAGCGCAATTTCTATATTTTCTTTGTAATTCAATTTTTTTTTTTTTTCGTATTCAAAGTCCTTCTGGTGATATTCCTTTTCTAGTTTTCTTCTCGATGTCTATTATTTCTGTATTATCGAAGTCTACTGTGTGATTGCTTTGTGTAAGGTGTTGGGCTCTTTTACTTTATTTTATTATTAATTTTATTTTAAATTTTATTTTTGTATTTTAATTTAGTCATTTAATTATATTTGTTTTTGTTTCATTTTAACTTATCATCTTATTTTTCATTTTACCTTACTTAATATAATATATTTGTTTAATTTTATTTTTTATTATTCTTTTCCTTTCCTTCTTTTTTTAGTTTGCTTTATTTTATTTTATTTTATTTTAATTATATAAATTTATTGAATTTAAATTTAATTTTAACTTATTTTTTTTTTGTTTAATTTTATTTAGCCTTTTGTTCCTTATTGTATTTCATTTCAGCAACTTATACTAATTTGTTTTTAATTTATTTTTGAATTGTATTTTATTTTTTTATCTGTTTATTTTATTTGTTTCAATTGATTTAAAATAATTTTCGTTTTTTTGTATGTATTTATGTATTTTAGTTAATTTATATTCTATATTCTATTCTATTTTATTTTTTCATTTTATTTAATTTAATCTATACTATTTCATTTTATTTCATTTCACTTTTTATTTTATTTATTTTAGTAACATTATATTATGATTTAAAATATTATTTAATTTCCTTCTGTTTTTTTTTAAGTTTTCTAATTTAATAATTTTAGTTAATTTGTATTTTATTTTATTGTATTCAATTTTATATTATAAATTATTATTATATACTAATTTATTTTTATTTTGTTTTGTTTTATTTCGATTTATTTTAATTTGTTCTATAGCATTTTTTATCATTTTATTTTATTTTACTTTATTTTATTTTTTTAAATATAATTTAATTTTATTTTGTTTTATACCATTCCATTTAATTTAAATAAATTTAATTAATTGTATATTTTTCAATTTAATTTTATTTTTATTTAGATACTTTTTTATTTTTACGTTATTATTATATTATTTTGTTTTATTTCATTCTATTATCATTGAAATTATTATTCTCTATTTAATTTTTTTTTGTTTTTTGCTTATTTTATTTTTTTCCCTTATTTTATTTTATTTTCTTTTATACAATTTTTTTGTTTTTCTTTTTCATTCGCTTTTTATGTTGTTTTATCTTTTCCAAAAAAATCATGAAATGCATGCATACAAACTATTTTATATATTTTGCTTTTTTATAGCAGCATAATTTTTTTATCAAACAGCAACAGCAGGAAAAAACTTTTAAATATAATATAATTTTAGTGCATATATATATATATATTATTTAATAATACAACGATTTGGTTTTTATCATAATTAAGTATATTTTAGTATATGAAATAATTAAATGAAACCACATGCTCTTTGTCATTTTTTTTTGCTCTTATGTAGCCAAAAACTGTTAGTTCGAAAGTATGCGAAAAGAGAAAAAATTATTAATTGTAAGAAATGCACCGACAATAATATATATTAAAACCGCAAAAAAACGATAACGTTAATTTTGTACTGACCGGGTCGGCCGCATTTGGATTCTGATCGGTAACATGCGTTCTTTTGTTTTTAAGTTCAACTTTATAAAAATAAACCTTTTAAGTTTCTCTACACATCTCATTTTTCAAAATGGATTTTTTCTTATTCTCGTTATACGATAGATATATTTGAATACATTCGTTCTTTTCTTTCTGCTTAAAACTAAGCATTTTCCCACCCAAAAATTTTCTAAGTCGTTATTCAAAACCTTTTAAATCTACACAGAAACATTCTTTAGTCTAAACTGTTACATACTTTAAGCAAACTAGAACCGAGCATTCTTATGAGTGTCATAACGGTTTTGGTTCAATTCAATTGTCAAAGAATCATATATTATAAGTTGCCACCGTACGGCAGAACTCTCAATTCGAAACTGTATTGTTGGCAATTGGACTGGCTGAAGTAAGCAATAGTCCAGAAGTACCCCACTAAAGCTAATAGAAGGCGAATTGGGATTCATCAGGATAACGTCAGAACATACACACCGATAGTACGTCTCCATAAGCTCCGAGAGCTTGTTTGGAAGGTTTTTGTCCATCCACATAGTAGGCCGGACCTCGCACCGAGTGATTACCATTTGTCCCTGTCCATCAAATAATTTGGCTGATGAAGACATGGCCTCAAGAGAAGCCAGTGAAAATCGATTGTCTCACCCTTTTTGGCCAATAGGTATATGGGTTTCTATCAGAGTGGCAAACTGACATTTCCTTCAAAAGTTATCAAGCAAAACACTGCAAATTTGACTTAAGTCAATTTATATTATTAGGTCAAGTAAAAAGTTCATTCGGGTTACGTATCGCATCATGTCATACTATACGGCGCTGAAAACGGGCCTATTCGCGCTAAAAGTTTGTCCTTGGCAGTTTTTCGATTGATTGACTCAGTACGTCGTGAGCGCTCGTTGAAGATGGACACCAGAAAAGAGAAAATTCCCTATATTTTACAATTTTTCTTCAATCAAGGCGAAAAAGCAGACCGCCACGAGAGCGTTTATTTAATTGCTGGTTAATTAAAGATAAGGCAGAAAATTATTTCGAACCATTTGCATAACCTTCAAAAAGAACCTTCAAAAACCTTCCTTCCTAACCTTCAAAAAGAATCTCGATGTTTGGGTGCCACACGAACTAACGCAAAAAAACTTGATGTACTGAATTTCCATCTGCGAATCGCTGCTGATTCGCAACAAAATCGATACGTTTCTGAAGCAGATTGTATTTAACTGGCGATGAAAAATGGGTCACTTACGACAACATCGAGCGCAAACAGTCGAGCGCTCGAGGAAGCAGCCCAGACGATGACCAAGACCGGATTGACGACCAGGAAGGTTTTGCTGTATGTTTGGAGGGATTGGCAAAGAATCATCTACTCTCTACTGTCAACAAATAGATCGCTTGAAGGGATGAGTGCTGAAGAGGCCATATTCGATTAACAGAGGTGGAATTGTGTTCCATCAGGACAACGCCAGGGCACACACGTCTTTGGTGACGCGTCAGAAGCTCTAGGAGCTCGGATGGGTGGTCCTAATGCACCCACCTTATAGTCCGGACCTATCACCAAGTGATTACCATCTTTTCCTGTCCATGGAGAACGCGCTTAATGGTGAGAAGTTGGCCTCAAGAGAGGCCGTGTTTTTTGCCAATAGGGACGCAGCCTTCTACGAGAGGGGTATAAACTTGGCATCTCGTAGGCAACAAGATTACAAAGAAAACGACGCTTATATGACTTAAATCAATCAAATGTACACAAAGTTATTATATTTTGAAAAATCAATAAAAACCCGAACACACTTTTTACTTGACCACATTATTATATTATCCATATATACATATTCTCATTTCGCAACATTGAAAAAATCCAGCCTTCGTGACCCATGCTATTATTACACTTATATAAAAAAATTATTTAAATTTTCTATCAAAACTAAAAGATTTTTCTCCTCACAATTATTATTTTTTTACACGTCTTAAGAACAGCAGAATTTGTCAAGAAAACAAATGAAATTAAATACACAAATATGTTTTAAAATTTTTTGTTTGTTTTATAAAACATACAGTTGTTGATTGATTGAAAGACCAAGAGAGAGAGAGGGAGAGAGAGGAAGAAAAAAATCAGAGAGTGCGAGTGTAGCTGGCGGAAACGTCGCATAACTTGTTAAACACTGTGGCAGTGAAAGAAATAGCTATTTACTTATCACTCATACGCCCCGTACGCAACTCCAACATCCATATGTATGTACATGCTTATATTGTAATAATAAGTAAGTATGTCTTACCAAGCACAAACACAAATATACACATATGTATATATATATATATATATATATATATCTGTACGTAATATACAAATATGAGAGCCACATTTATCAAAGCTTCAAAAACAAAAGTACACACTGATAAGCGTTGACTGATAATTAACGGTAAGAAGAAACGCCGAGCAACAAAGTAAAAACAACCTTGACGCACATGACAACGTGAAGTGTTGTGGCGCTTAGAGAGCTTTTTTTTCTGACTAAAGCTTTTTACCTAGAATCTTGTATAATTTGATGTAGTATAATACATAGTACAACAGCAATAACAAATTATTTTCTATAGAGAGAAATATTATATTCATAGAATATTTAATTTATTTATTTATACTGCATATATGGGTTTGTAAGTACACTTGGCGTTTGCATGTTATCGCAACATTTGGCGCTCTAAAACTGCGAGTATGCATGTGCTTATGTCTGTATGTATGTATGCACATAAGCTTTCATGCCACAGCGTGTAGGGGGAGCGTGGATATATTGACACCACTTGTACACTTTCAATTAGCCAAGTGAAATAAAAAATTTATTTTTCAGTTGTGTTTTCGTATTTGTTACAGTTAAAACGGTTCAAAGGTGCGGAATAAATTGGCTTTAAGTAAAACAAAAAATAGTTAAAATAAAAATTTCTTATACACAGAGTAGCAGAGTTTTTTTGTTTATTTAACATAAAGTGTACTGGAAGTGAGTAGAGTGTGTATGAGAGAGAGAGAGAGTGAGAGGAAGGGGGAGTAAGAGAGGAGTGCTACACCCTCATATATGAAAATAAGTGCTGATCCGTGTGCTGATTGTGATAAGATGACATCAGATAATTTTTTTTTTTTTTTTTGTTAANAAATTTTTTTTTTTTTTTTGGAAAAACAATTAACAAACTTTATGAAAAATATTTAGGCATTAAAAGCTAAAATTTAAATAATTTTATAAGACCAGTTGAACTGTGTTGAAAAATTCAATAATAATAATTTAATTTAATATTGAATTAAATTCTTATTTAGCTACGCACATAAATTTGTTTATATATAAAGTAATGCACACCTTTTTCAGTTTTTCTATGAATCCGGTATTTCCTTTGAATAAAGCCAAACGCAAATAAAATTTAATTTTAAAAGCTTTTGGTTTAGAAACTTTATGTTTCATACACACATAATAAATTGTTTGCATTACTATTTTTTTTTTATTCAATCCATAAAACAAATTATAATGAATAGAATATAAAACTATCATGAAAGAACAAGTAAGGAACCAAATATTACAATAGTTACTCGGCCGATATTTAGCATTAGCCTGCTTTATAGGCTTCTAAAAATTACCTTTCTTCTTAAATTTATTTCAAAACTATACAAGAATATTTCAAAATATCAGTGACCAATTCGGCATGTTTTAGAAGCTTGAGCAGTTTTAGTGGCCGAGTGTCCAGTAGATTCGAATACTCAAACAAACTTTGTACATTTTTGCAAGTCTTAGAAAAGAGTGCCAGTGATAGCAAAACGAATATTTGTCCAACGCAAAAAAATTAAGTCAAATTAAATTAAATAATCGTCTCTTTGAACAAAAGAATTATAATAAAATTATTCAAGCTATTTTTTTGCAACTTGAAATTAATTTTTTTTTTAAAAGAGATAATTTTTTTTAACTTTGGAAAACTTTTAAAACAACTTCTTCAGTACTCATCACAATAAAAAAAAATGGTTCAACAGTTTCAAATGCGTCGCACGACCTACATCGCCGGCAACGTTTCACAAGTTCAGACTGCAACCGCTTTAGAAAACTCATCACAACATTGGAAAATTCCAATACTTTTTTATACTAAACTTTGTTTCAATATATTCCATTATTTGTCTGAAAATTTCCTTTACCGCAATTATTTCTCTTCTCTGCAAAAAATTGCTGAAAATGCGCTGATCATTCAAAAAAAGGGCTCCGTTGTCCTGGGAGTAGTTTTACTTCTACTACATTTTTCGTAAAATTTTAGTCCTCATTAAAAGTTGCAAGTTTCATTAAAATATCTTTTCCTTAATAAGGGCCTACACCTAAATGAGTTATCCCCGATAATGTCTCATCCCAGATACTTACGAGGGCATGCAAGAAATGGAAATAGGAGCGCATTTAATGAGACTGGTAAAATCTTTCTTGTAAACAGGATATTTACAATTAGCGTTTTGTAACCGCTTAGGCGATTTTCGGCCGAACTCCTCCTCTAATTTATCTTTTTTGTTGTTCTTCCAACAAATGGAGGGACTTACAGTTTATACTAAGCCGCCTCCGAACGACTGATGATTTTTTTATAAGGAGCTTTATTTAATACCAGAAGTCCACTTGGGGAGGTTGGTATTCCCTGTCGAGGGGTGACCAAAATTAGAAAATTTAGCTTAATTTTTTATTTAAATTAATTTTCTATAACTTTTGGATATTAGTTGCACGGTGATTTGAACCCGAGCCTGCGAATATCAGCGCGCAGTTTTAACCACTCGGCTACCGCGCCCGCCATACCGGATAATCTTCGGTAAATAAACAGGCGCATACGCAATCAGGTATACCAAGAGATGTACTCCTCAGAGAGTCTTCCCTCTTCACTTCTTGGGTGTCTCGAAATTATCACGCTGCTTCGCAAACTAAGAAACACAGGCTCCGAGGTGATAGAATTTATTGACGGCATCGCCCTCACAGCTATTGGAAGTTGGAATTGGTGCAGAGACGACCGAAATTCCATCTTCACCAGATGGTATAAATAACCTACTTTTAAGTTGCCTTCACTACAAGCCATCGATATCACTCATTCTACTGCGGTCAAATATTTAGCTTAGATAGTAAGCTCACCTGGAATCGAAAGGCGATTGAAAGTAGTAAAGGAGCTATGTTCGCGATCTACGCCTTCAAGGTGCCAATAGATGGGAACGAAGACCATATAATGTTCATTGGCTATACAATGCGGTCGTAAGGCCAATATTAAATTAAGAAGTCACTGTCTGGTGACCGGCAGAAGCAAAGCTATGTGCAGGTGCAAGGGGGATAAAGTTCAGCCGACACATAATATTTTCAAAAAAATCGTACTTAAGCACATAGAGCAGTCCATGGTTCACTTCCCAGTTATTTCTAAATATTCCCTGAACTTCCACAAGTATTTCATTTCAAAATTAGACAAATTTAGTCAATTTCGGGTTACATGCGTACATATATTTCAACGAATCATGGATTATATTCAAATATTATGAAATTTGCTACGCCTCTAAGTTAAAATGAAAATAATACTTTAATTACCGTCTATAAGAGATGTTTTGCTTTGAATAATTTGACAGTCATGATGAAAATATACCTTAAATCCTCTGTTTATATAGTAGTATATGACTTATTCTTCCACATAAAGCACATACATATACATATCTGCTTATCAAAAAAAAAAAAAAAAAAAATTCACCTTTTTCGTATATCTCTGAATTTGGCGCTTTTCGCTGCTCATTTAAAGCAGTACATACAGTGGGGAGCAAAAGTGTTANATTTAAATTAATTTTCTATAACTTTTGGATATTAGTTGCACGGTGATTTGAACCCGAGCCTGCGAATATCAGCGCGCAGTTTTAACCACTCGGCTACCGCGCCCGCCATACCGGATAATCTTCGGTAAATAAACAGGCGCATACGCAATCAGGTATACCAAGAGATGTACTCCTCAGAGAGTCTTCCCTCTTCACTTCTTGGGTGTCTCGAAATTATCACGCTGCTTCGCAAACTAAGAAACACAGGCTCCGAGGTGATAGAATTTATTGACGGCATCGCCCTCACAGCTATTGGAAGTTGGAATTGGTGCAGAGACGACCGAAATTCCATCTTCACCAGATGGTATAAATAACCTACTTTTAAGTTGCCTTCACTACAAGCCATCGATATCACTCATTCTACTGCGGTCAAATATTTAGCTTAGATAGTAAGCTCACCTGGAATCGAAAGGCGATTGAAAGTAGTAAAGGAGCTATGTTCGCGATCTACGCCTTCAAGGTGCCAATAGATGGGAACGAAGACCATATAATGTTCATTGGCTATACAATGCGGTCGTAAGGCCAATATTAAATTAAGAAGTCACTGTCTGGTGACCGGCAGAAGCAAAGCTATGTGCAGGTGCAAGGGGGATAAAGTTCAGCCGACACATAATATTTTCAAAAAAATCGTACTTAAGCACATAGAGCAGTCCATGGTTCACTTCCCAGTTATTTCTAAATATTCCCTGAACTTCCACAAGTATTTCATTTCAAAATTAGACAAATTTAGTCAATTTCGGGTTACATGCGTACATATATTTCAACGAATCATGGATTATATTCAAATATTATGAAATTTGCTACGCCTCTAAGTTAAAATGAAAATAATACTTTAATTACCGTCTATAAGAGATGTTTTGCTTTGAATAATTTGACAGTCATGATGAAAATATACCTTAAATCCTCTGTTTATATAGTAGTATATGACTTATTCTTCCACATAAAGCACATACATATACATATCTGCTTATCAAAAAAAAAAAAAAAAAAAAATTCACCTTTTTCGTATATCTCTGAATTTGGCGCTTTTCGCTGCTCATTTAAAGCAGTACATACAGTGGGGAGCAAAAGTGTTACCACGATCAACGTTTTCATGTTTGGGTGCACATAAAAGCTTAACGAACCAAGTAAATGATAAAACTTTATTTTCTAAAATAAGGCGTAAAAAATAAAGTAATTGAAGAAGCTATAGAATAGTAATGATTCAAAACCAAAAACAAGCGGCATGTAAAAATTCATTATTAATATTTGATTCAGATACCCTTATTTTCTATGACATTTTTCATACGTTTTTGACACACTTTCAACTAATTTTCCAAATATTCCTTTCGCCCCCAAAGATCGTTCAAGTTGGATGGGGCTGATTGATACTGTCCGAGCCATCACTTTACGATTGACCATAGGTTTTCAATCGGATTGAGGTCGGGACTCTGCGCTGGCCACTCCATCATCTTCAAATTTTGGTTTCAGAGCCATTCTTTAACAATTGTCTCAGTTTGGTTGGGATCCTCATCTTGCTGTAAAGTGATTTCCTGCTCTGGGTACGCACACTGGCTCAAAAGATTGGGAAGATGGGCTTGCAAAATGCTCATAGTCTTCCTTCAATAGTCTCCCTTTCCCATAATCCCATTTGTGCAACGGTCCAACGTGCGAATACGTGAAACACTCCCATGCTATTATGTTGCCGCCTCCATATTTCACGGTTTGATTTACATGATACCTTTGAAGCTTGTCACCAGGTCTCCGCCAACATCTGATTGAAAACGATCAAACTTAAATTCGTCTGACCAGATAACACGTTTCCAGTCTTCTATTGTCCAGTTTTTGAGTTCCTTGGCGAATTTTAGCCGAGCCTTAACATTTTTCTCTGATAAAGCTGATTTGTTTTTTTTTTTCACTGCTGCGACGTACCAAATCCTACCAAGCGCTCTTCTAGCTGTCCGTCGACTCACGCCTTTATTTATATCTGTAGAAGCTTCTTTTGGCGTTAAAAGTCCATTTTTTTTTTCATTTTAGACATCACAAGTCGAGCGTCAGTGTCTGTTAGAAGGCAACAGCTTCCATTCAACTTCTTTTCAGTACAAACATTTTGTCTTTTCTGCTCCTTGACAACCACTGATTGTCTAATTTGCAGCTTCTCAGCAATAGTGC